ATATGTGTACATTACCTACGTATACCTATATGTTTACATGTATGTATGTATGTTTGCATGTATGTATGTAATGATGAGGACGACGATGTATGTAATGAAAAAATGTATGTATATATGTATGTATGTATGCAGCAAAAACAATACAACATACAACGTAATACACTGTATGCACGTAAGTAACGTAATATAATACAGTGAACTGAACACGCAAGATCCGTTTCAATATCTATTGCATCACTTGTGACAATTCAATAAAAACGTACCTACATGGCTACATACAAACATACATACACGCATACAAACATACATGCATGCATACATACATGCATGACTGTGACAGACTGTTGATAAGAAACGGATGGTGTGACATCAATATGAGAGAATCTAATTATAAGTGCTAGTGCATATCAAACATAACAACAATAAACATAAAAAAAACAAGTCAATACAACACATACAAACAAATACAAACAAGCATCCACAAGCAGACATATAAAAACATACAACAACATACACCAACAAAACAAAAAATGCACAAACCAACAATGAAAGACTCATTCAAACGAACCAAAAAAAAGTATAAAATAAACTGAAACAATCTATTACTCCGAAAAAACAAAACACAAACACACAGAGAGACAAACGAGCAAACACGCAGATTCAAGGAAACACAATGCATCCATCAGCTAGCAGACATAATGATGCATGCAAAACATTTATAAAGCATTCCCATTAAGTTAGTTAGTTAGTTGGAGTGATGTTGACGATCATTTTGAAACATATCATAAATAGCAGAGGAAGATCCGTTTTTTCCTCAGTCTGCACGTTCCACTAAATATTATATTCTCCAACCAAAACCATTTGTAGTAGTTAGCAGCAAATTAGCATGAACTAACTACATTATTGCCGTGAATAAACATTTGCCAGTGCATAAACAAATAAAAAATAAAATAAAAAATAAAAAAAAACTGTCAACCCGCTCATGCAGATAAAGAAATAAATAAATATAAATAACTGAATATAAATAACTGAATATAAACAAATAAATGAATGAATAAGATGATTAACAAATAAATAAATGCAACATACGTATGGTATGCTGCGTATGGTATGCGGTGGTATACCCAAATGAAGGAACGTTAGATGATTCCCTGGCTTACATAAAATGAAAATAATTGCTTTTTAATTTGACAACTGACTGATACAAATGTACAAATATGGTAACATACAAACATATAAATAACACAACAACACAACGGCAACAATAACATCAACGAGGACAACAACAACAAAAGCACTAACAACAACAACAAAAACTACAACACCAAGCCAGGCTTGCCTCCAACAAATGCAATTGTGCAGTAATTGAGCAAATATAATATTGTGATTCATGGCAATGTTTATTTATATGGTGATGCACATCCCATATAAGTGCCATGTGCTGGGCACATATATAAGGATTTATTACATTTCCATGACACTATTATTCCCTAATTTTGCACAATACTTTCACTTCCCAGGTTTAAATTAAACATATATTATTATAGAAAAAATTTATTTGGCAGAATTAAATTTTTCAAATATATAACCTTAAATATCCAATGTGTTTAATTGGCAATATTACATACTTTACCCAAGTTTACTCATAAAACCAGAGCCAGGTAGTGATAATACAAGTGAAGCATCACAAAAACCAATGCACAGTTATATACATATACACACACACACACAGACAAACACACACACCTACAAACACACTAAACAGGCCCGGGCACAATTGCATTCATGCACACATTTGAAAAATTTAATAGCATAGTAATGAAATATTTATTAAACAATTATTTATTTATTTACCTAATAAATATTGTTTGCCTCAAGAGGAAAGCAAAAACAATGACAGAAAATTAAAAGAAAAACAAATTGCCTAGAAAAGAAATAAGCAAGGAATAACAACAACTGACACATGAATATTTTGTGGGTAAAAAATAAATTGACACCCATTAATCAAAATATAAAATGAAATACACACACGCGCGCGCACACATACACACGCGCGCACACACACAAATCATGTTGATGATAATGGAAATATATTATGATAAAAAGAAAAGAAAATTTGGTTGTAGAGTGCATTATCTGCTGACAATGGGAAGCAGTAGGACAGGATAAGTGAATTTGTGAAAATTATTTATTTACACAAAATAATAACAACAACAACAACAACAACAACCATAATTACAACAATTTCTACAGCAGTTGAATAGCAGCAGCAATAATAAAAAATAATAATAAAGAAACCAATAAAATTGCATTAAGTAACAAACCCAGACTCCAGACATGTTATAATATAACAATGGGATATAATAAAATAAGACAATTTCAATGATCGAATTATTATTATATATAGAATTCAATTTCTATTTTTTAGTTTTCATATATTTTCTTATTTTACATCAAATAAAATTAATAGAATGAGAATTTATTTTACGACTAATTAACACATCTAAATACATTCTTCTTGTGTTTTTTAATACTAGACACCACGTAGCAGTTACTTAATAATATTAGCCTTTATTTATTTATTGATAATTCATTTCTCACTTTCTCTCTCCCTTTCTCCCCGTTTTCTAAAAAAGATAAAGTTCTCTTTAAAATAAACAAACAGAAATGAATAAGATGAATTAGTGTTAATAAGAAAATTAAATAAATAAATATATCCTAGATTCTTGACTAGATCCAACTCACCAACACATTTTTTTCTAAATTATAAAAGAAATTGCAAATCGATAATTTAATGAATCATTATAAAATGTAAAATAAAAATCATATTATTTTATATTTTATTGTAATAACTTTGCCTACTATCTATCTCACAATCCTATTACAAAAAATTATATCATATTAATCATTAATGATTAATCCAATGCTATTACAAAAAATTGAAATTTTGATCTTTTATCTATTTTAAAAATTAATAAATTTAAAAAATAATTAATGAATTAATTAATATTAAATCAAGCCAAAGTATAAATTATGAAAGAGTTTTTAAAAAATTTTATTTTAATTCAACATTTGTTTTAAGTAGTAAGATACTTTCATTGATTTTTTATCTTTATTTATAAAAGTTGATTAATAGAGAAAAAATTTTTTTCATCGCAGTGCCAAAAAAAATCAAATGATGGAAATCAGGTAATGATGGGCAGAAGAATGAAGATTGAACATTTTGAAATATTGTCATAAAATAGCTTACAAAAAAAATATATGTAATTAATATTAACCTTTTTGAGAATTTCTCAAAACTGAAAGAAAATTGAACTAGGAGATGGTGATGAGGAAGAAACGCCGGAAAACCTTCGCTCGCAACTAGCGAATCTCGCAATGGAATGCAGTAAAAATAAACAATTTTGAAACCAGAACCTTATTCAGTGATGTTACAAAATTTCTTTGTCTAAAGATGTCGGTTCAGTGATGTTACGTTATCTTATCTCTTTTAGAGATTACCGATCCTGGCGGTCTGACGAGAAGTACATATATATATATATATATATATATATATATATATATATATATATATATATATATATATATATATATATATAGAATTTCATATTAGTATTGCTATACTGCATTTTCTTCATTATAAAATTTAGTGAAAGCAAGAATAGCAATAACGTCGCCCTTCCAGTATAATTGAGGTAATGAGATCCAAGATAATCGATTCAAGTGATTTACAAGACATAAAATATAGAATATAATAACACAGACACTTCCATGTCAACACTGAATAAATAATAAAATAATTAGAATGACGTATAAGTCTAATCTAAGTATATGAATGTATACAAATAATATTAACAACATTTGTAGAACTTCACATACACGTTTAACGCAAGGCTTATGTACAAGTACACGTTTTAGAGGTGATTCTTTAAAATTTTTATGTTTAGTATAGTATTCAGAACTGCCTTAGCTTGAACGATAAATAATAAAATAAATATGACTTGTAAATTGGATTCAGCAATTGCAATATTTAAAAAATTTGTTGATAGCTCGTGTGACATCTTGGTGCGATCATGGAATTCGATGGATTTTGAAATCGTTGATCAACAATTTTTGAACATTTTCTTTATTAAAACCAGTGTTTTTTGCAAGTATTTTATGCTAAATGGTACCGATGAATTATTTATTCTGCTAAGGTCTTTTTATACAGAGACCATGTCCCACTTAGCTACTTATAGTTGAATCTGATCCTAATCACTGTGAACTTATTGAAAACAGGAATTTAATTTTTGATGATTTTTTTTTATAAATTTGTTATACAGGTCTGTTAATAACACTTAAATAGCTTAGCAATTGCTACTTACCTATATGGAATAGTAACTTCTAAAAATGTTCTTTTACCTTTTCGTACAATGGCAGACACGCAAAGGACATACAATTTATGTTGGGTCGGTCTATTTGACTTTTTTGGATATTTGGCTCATTACATATTACTGAACAATTAATTAAATAGCCAATTAACCAATCAATCAACCAATCAAATCAACCAAACACACAACCAATAAATTCGAATGTTCAACCAACCACACAACCGACCAAATATTTATTAAACAATCAATCATTAAAGCAACCAACCAACCAACAAGCTAATAATTAGTAAATGTAGTAAATGTTGTTACATGAATATGTAGCAATATCTTGAACTCTTTAAAAAGGAAAATGGTGATAATAATTCATATAAGACAGCGCCGATGACTATTATTAGCAAACGTTTCGAGTAAAAAAAACATATAAACAACACAAACTTAATATAAGGTGTTTTAATTTTTAATGACTAAAAAAATATCATTTTTAATGTAGAAAAGTTTATATAAAATTGTAAATTACAAAAATGTTTTAAGAGGCATTTCAAAAATAAAAATTTTATACTATTTTGTTAAACGCACAAGTTTCTTTATTTAATATTGATAGATAGCAAGCGTTAAAAAATTTGGTTGAAAATGTCTGCAGTTCGGCCTGGTAGACGGAAAGCAAAATTAATTGACTTGGATGATTCAGATGATAATGATAAGAAAGAAAATAAAGCCGATGTCATAAAGAAATTAAATGCGAAGAAAGAACTGAAAAGAGATGAATATGTGTTTGATAAAGAAGACTACCTTCTTAAAAGATCTGTTAAGAAGGTTTTGATTGGAAAACATGCATACACGTTGAATAAACTGTCCGATGACGAGGATGAAAAAGAGGAAGAAAAAGAGTTTGTCGGCCATAAAAAATTGAAGCATCTTCAAAAATCGAAGCCTCTTCAAAAATCATCATCTTTATTATTGCAAGAAAAAAAAGAGGAAGAAAAAGAGTTAATCGGCCATAAAAAATTGAAGCATCTTCAAAAATCAAAGCCTCTTCAAAGATCGAAGCCTCTTCAAAGATCATCATCCTTATTATTGCAAGAAAAAAAAGAGGAAGAAAAAGAGTTTGTCGGCCATAAAAAATTGAAGCATCTTCAAAAATCGAAGCCTCTTCAAAGATCAAAGTCTCTTCAAAGATCATCATCCTTATTATTGCAAGAAAAATATGAGGAACACAACACCGAACAATTTAAAAGGTTGTTTTTTGATTATAAAAGGCAAAAGAAAAAACCACGCCGTCGTATCAAAAAAAAGAAAAAGAAACAAGCAAACTTGGAAGATGAGCTTAATACTGACAGAATTTTACAGCAAAAAATTTTGCAAGAAAATTTAGTGCGGGATTCTGACAGCGCATCTGAGCCTACGCCAGTTCCTATAGATCTATTAGCAATGAAACATTCGAGACCATTGAAAGACATCAGAAAAGAAATAAAAAAACTTACAGACGAACCCGAAGAAGTAGTAAAAGAAGAAATTCCAAAACCCGTTAAGAAAGAAAAAGTAAAAAAACCACCAAAAGAAAAAAAAACTGAAAAGAAACCATTCCTAAAATTTTTTCAACCTAAGCCTAAAACAGACAAAGAGCTGCCGGCACCGGATCTCGACGAAGATAATAACATAAGGATTACACAAGCTTTCTTCGAGTTAATAAACAAGCTGTACGATAGCGATGTACATGTGGGGAGTTTCGAAACAATGTCAATACATTCAGAAAGTTTACGCAACATAGGCAAAAGAGCAGGTAGATCAAAATGGAGTTTGACAGGAAAGAGAAATATGAAACTGATGGAAGAAGTTGTTCTGCATGCTGACGATCTCATCCATCCTATAGGAGAGTCAACTGATTTGTTTTTACCGAAATTGAAAAAGGAGTCATCTGATTTGTTTTCACCAAAATTGAAAAAGGAGTCATCTGATTTGTTTTCACCAAAATCGAAATTGAAAAAGGGATCATCTGAATTATTTTCACCAAAATCAAGCCTGAAAAAGGAACCTTCTGATTTATTTTTTCTTCCCCTCAAATTACTTAAAAAGGAATCTTCTGATTTATTTATTCCCGCAAAAAAACATAAAAAATCAAAAAGACATTCACGTCGCTCAAAGTCTTCAGTGACTCAGGCCACGTTGAAGCCTGGTTCATCTACATCAATAGTTAGGACAAAAAAATCAAAAGAAGAAATAAAAACTGAAAAGATGTTTCCTTTCATCGAGAGGAAGTTAGGTTCAGTTAAGTCCGCCAAGTTTATGAAATATTTGATCCATAGAATACCTAAACCTCACCCGTCGGGATTTTCTTTCTCTGGTTTTTGTGTGCACTGCAATGTAAGGATTTTTCTCAACTCGTTTCAATTTTGCACAAAAACGAATAGATATAAAAACTTATCAAAAAAACTTATGTAAAAACTTTTGCATCCCAAAAAAATTGTAAAATGTAAACTGTGCGTTATTTTTAATCTCATTGTTGATATTTTCATTTTTTCGTAGAATTTACACCCTCCTTTAAAATTGCCATGTCTTGAAATGAGAAGATCGCTGCCCAGTTTTCGAAAAAGATCCAAAAAGTATGTCTACACAACAGTGTCTATTCTCTTACTAACAATCGTCATTAATTTTTTACAATTGAAATAAAATAATTTTATAAGCGCTTTAGTTTATAAAAAAAGTTTGGTAAAAATTTACATTTGGTTTGAAGAATTTATTTATTTCAATATACAACATAACATTTACAGAGCCTGCTGCAAGAGGAAGTGTTTCGGTTACTTGAAAATTCCTCATCCCTCTGGAATGACCTTCGCAGATTTCCAATTTAAATATTAATTTGTTAAAAAATTAGTAGATTTATTTCTATTTAATTCAGTCGTTTATTTTAATTTCAATGTTTATAACCACTCATTATGAGTAGATGCGTGTTTCTTAGTTATTTTTTTATGTAGATTCAGTTAAATTATCATAATTAGTTGTTAAAGTAGTTGAAAATCTCACGTTATAAAGTTCGATGCTGTTTGCGTATTACAAGCATCTTATCTCAATGATTCAAATACTTTAATTTTATTTATAACATAGTTTATATTGTTTAGCTTTTAGAAAATTACAAATTTCGAATTTGATAATTAACTGATAAAATAATTATGAATATTTTATAATGTTATAATATTTTTTTTTAATTTTTTTCCATATTGGCCATTTTATCATCAATAAAATTTAAAATATTTAATGAGTAGTGAAAGAGCTATCAACAAATTATTCTTATTATTTCTTAACCAGAGGAAATCACCAAATTTATCCAATCTTAAGGAGAAAATTCAAAATTTCTCCATTTTATTCCATAAATTCGATTTTGATTATAAATTACGTGAGGCTTTGAAGTGAATCTTTTGTAGAATTAAAAATCACAGCACATTATAAAAGTTTATTTCAACATAACCCAACACATAGTAAAAAGTTGTTTAGATCGAAAATTAAAAACATCTCAACCAGTGATAAACAAAGTAATTTCTCAATTTATAACATACCTTGTTTGTTACAAAGTTATTTAAAAAGCACTATCAACCTGTTTGGTTGGCTTATTTTCAGTGGGCTCACGATAGTGTAATGGTTAAGATACCTGGTACTAATTTTGCAGTGGCTGGTTTCAAAACGCAGAAAGATAACATAATCATTGTTTGTGTGTATGTTTGTGTGTGTGTGTGTGTGTATGTGTGTATGTGTGTGCGTGTGTGTGTAATACGTTGATTCACGCATGTTTACAAACGGTGCGTGTTTGTTGTCGCTACTTCTAAAAAACAGAGTAATAAAAAATATTTTTTAATAAAAAAACATTTTCTTTGTTAAAAATCATCTCAAGATAATAACACTGTAGAAAAGTAATGACGCTCTAATTGAAAAAGATTTAGAAACAAAAATATAAACAATAACTCTGCTTTCCACCTGAAAAATAAACTAAATTATTTCTATGTGCAAAATCAACGTTAAAAACATTGTTGAGATGCATTCTTCAAAAATAATGAAAGATAATGAAATGTCTAGGAGAATGTGCGGGTTAGTATTTTGAACATGTTGCAGTAATTAATGAACGATATATGTATCTGCACTTCCAAATTCAAAACACATTAAAAAAAACTTTATAAATTTACTTTTAGGTTTTAATGCGTCTTATAGAAAATTGGTTAGTTTTTTTAACTTAACTAATGAATATATTTAAAATACTCAAAGTTGACAATTTTTTATTTATTTCATACAATAAAATTCATGAAATCATGAATCAAACTGAAATAACAAACTTGCAATAACACTTTCAATTTATCAGGCAACTTGTCGTAACTTAAACTTTGGAGTTAGAAGAAACCTAAGCCTTAATCCAAGGTTTATAATATTACGACGTAAAATCAAAAAAGTTTTGTTATTTATTACTAAATTATTTGAAGTTGCAGGAAGGTCTACGATTATTCAGGCAAAACTGCGTGCCGTAGAAGAGCCGGGTTAGTGAGGGGAAACAATTTGTTGGATAAGCTGAAAGATTTATATGATGCTGCTTACAGTGATGAATCAAGCGAAGACGGCTCAGATGTTTCGTGCGCCAGTTTGCTCAGCCTGGAAACAAAGTTTGATAAAACTATCATGCAGATTTTATCTTCTATGCATTCCTGTTTCCATTTCCATTGGAAGAATGGACCAAAATTTCATGGTTACAAACCAAATTTGTGTTGTTCAGTCAACTACTTAACTTCCAGAAAAACTTTAGCGGCTAAAACTGACAGAGATGAAAACCAGGAAGAGAATAGCTTTAGTTTCAACGATAGATTTTATCCAGAGTTTGAAAATAATTTTGAAAATTATAAAAATTTTGCCAACCACTGTCACAAAATTACCAAACGTGATCAAAATTTTAATGTGACTCAAAATAATAAATTTTTTATTGAGGATTCGAAACCCTACCTTGATAACCATTGCAGCTATTACGATATAGTGAAGCCAAATTATTCTGAAAAAAAAAAATATTTTCAAAAATACGGCTTGAAAAATCCCGCTCAGTGGATGAACACGAAGCAGCAGGGCCAGAAATGTCTACGTTTCAATCAATCATCCAAGCAACGACACCTAGGAACTCAGCAATCAAAACCAATTTTAAAAAAACAGTTCCCAGTGCACGGACGCTGTCAGGCAGAACTCAGTGGTGAAGAGTGTTCAGGAAATGGAACTAGTGAGTATGGGAATAACTTAAATAACATCAAAAGTCATTTGAAACAGCTGTTATTAAGTGAAATTTACAAAATGAGACGGACTGATGACAATAATGATTCAAATTTAGAAAAGTTAAAAAAAATTGTTTCTAATAAAAGCGTTCAATTTGATATTTCCCAAACAAATACGGATAACTTACAATCGAAAATGTACGGAAATGTTAGAATGCCAGCGGATTTGAAAAATGATCCATCTTCAAATCAACCAGAAAACAGGATGTGTGATGTAAGAATGAACAAATCATTGGAACCTCAGTTCCGTAATGAGAACATGATTTCAAGAAGTAATTGTTCGTGCAGTCAATCGAACGCTAGCATGCCTTCAACTTTTAATTCAGATAATGAAGATACCACACAACAAAAACGAGAACTATCAAAATCTAGTGACATATATAAAAACTCGTCAAACAGTCAAAAAGATTGTGAACAAAAAGAAAACTTAAGGTCTCAAGGATCGACGCCTAGATTTGTCGTTAAAAATCAGAGCTACAACAAATGTAAAAATTATGCTACGGATTACCCAGAAGCATGTAACGAGCAACAAAACCCGCAAAATGATCAAAGATTCAGATATCGTGATAATCCTGATTTCACCGAATCGTTGAAAATTAGAAAACTTCTACCTGGCCTTAACGACAAAAGTTACATCGAAAGTTTGAAGGCATGCAGCATTAAATTCCAAAAATTAAATAAGAACCAAGTCCAAAAGATACCCGCAAATAATGAGGCAAACGATTATAAACCCCACGAAACAAATTTGTCATCCAAAAATGAAAAAAATTACAAAAATGAATACGAAAAATCATTTTATCAAAAAACAAGAATTAAAAAATTAAACAAATGTGCTACAAAAACAATTCGGAAAGACTGTATAAGTCGTCCTGATGTGATCATAAATGAAGAGCAAGCGTCGCCCATCGCATCGCAACCAAAAAGCATGTTTACCAAAACAAAGAATGACGCCGATTGTAGTAACTCCCTCATTGAAGCTGAAATTTTGTCCTCGTCAAAAATAATTGATAAGAAAAGAAATGATACTAATGAAATTAATTTAGTACGAGACTGTACTCAACGTCATGAAGGGAATGAACCAATTTTTAAGGATACAAAAAAGTTGAGACAATCCCAAAACCAGAAGAGACACGGAATTAAGCAAGATCAAGATGGGACAAAATATTTAGGTTGTGCATTTGTAAAAGAGCATTTGGAAATAACCGATGTAAATGAAAAAAAACATTATCCAACGCTTTCATCTTTCAATTATTGCCAAAAAATGGCAATTCGGAATGATGGAAAAAAGGATGATATTTCTACTGAAAAACTTGAAAAACATAAAAAATTATGTAGATCTAAAACTGTGAATTTTTACAAAAGCTCTAATGTCAACAGCAAAAATAGAAATCAAACGGAAAACGTGGTTAAACACCCCGATCGTGAAAGACATTCATATTTGAATGAAGAACAAGCAAATGGTATGAAACTAAAAAATATAATTTTAAATAGAAACAGAAATGACTTATACTTTAAAAATAATATGCAAGACAACAGGTCAAATTCTGAAATTAAAAAGCAATTATCAGAAACTTCTGAGAACGATAGCGCATCAACTGGTAACAGTCAATATTCAGAACTCAATGAGAGTTATGACGAGGGGTCATCGGTTTTTAGCGATCAAAATGAAGAAGGTTCTGACAAGATAGCCCCAACACCGTCGAATAAAATTGAAACTGACATGAATGTTGATATTTTGACTTCTAATGAGTCCCTGCTAATTGAACAAGAACCATTTTTAGCAAACAAAAAAAATGTTGAACCTGGAAGTTATCATACAGATCTAAGTACATCAAACGATGAAACGTATAAGTCGGGTAGCATTGAAAATGTTAAAAACAACGGCTTCAAGAAAGGTGGCCCTCTAAAAAATCTTAATGAAACTGTTGTTGATAAAAAATTTGGGCAGAACGGTGATCTGAATGAAAAAGAAAACAAATTGGATGGGAAAAAAATGCCCGGACAAATTTATGAGCCAGCCAAAGATGACAAAATGATTCAAGTGTATTCAGCCAAAAATGAAACAAAAAAGAGTAAAAATGTTAAGCAAAAAAAAAGTTCTGGTGAAGTCGAATTGCTGGAAAATTCAATGCTGGTTTCAAACGTTAGTCAGATCAAAAGTCATCAAGAAGATAGAAAAAAATTATCAAGTGCTGAAATGACAAAATCTGCAACAAATAATAGTGGCGAAATGACTCAAGGACCTTTAGACAAAAAAGAAAATGAAGTTGATAGGTATGTTAAGCGCAAAAATAGTTCAGACGAAGTTATGACAATATCGCAAAAAATTACACAAAAATATTCTCAAACATCAAATAGAACAAGAAGCATCATAAGTGATGACGGTCAAAGTCTTGAAATCTATGGCTATCCCACAAAGAAATTTGTCGACAGTGAGAAACCTGAAAGCAAAAAGTTACTTGCTGATAAAAATAATTTGCCAAAAAATCCTAACAAAATCGGCAGCGTTAAAAACAATAATCAAATCGATAATACAAATAAAATGAAAAACAATCCAAAAGCTGAAAATAGTTCATTGCAAAGTGCTACATCAGACAATGGAGACAAGTTGAGTCAACTGTCATCAAATAAAACAGAAAATAGAATGAATAAAAAAATCTTGGCTGGTAAAAAAATAAATAACAAAGGAAACATAAATGCAAATAAAACAAAATGTTTAAAAAATGATAGTCGGAATAAAACAAAAAACCAAACCGGGTCAGAAAATTACATGGACCGGGAAGAATCGTTATCAGATAGAAACAAAAAAACTTGGGCACCTAAAAACGAGAATAATTTAGGTAACGATGTTGAATGTAGGAGAAGTTCAGCTGGCAGCGAGTCAATTGTTTGCAGGAACAAATTGCACAAAATATGCAATTTGATTAAAACAAAAAGTTACGATGAAAAAACTTTGACAAGTTGTCTTAAAAAGATTAGCGTTGATTATGAAGAAGATTCAAATGGAAGAAACAAAAAGAGAGACAGTTGTGATAAATTTTCTGTCAGAAGTAAGGCAAGTTCAAAAAAATATAAGAAGGATAAAGTTCATGAAGTTAATGACCCAATTCAGTGTCCATTATCAATTTGCCAAAGAGAGCACAAAGCTCCTGATAATAGCCTTATTGAGAAAAAAAATCAATTTGAAAAATACGATTATTCAATTAGATGCACAAAAATCAATTTTCCGAGTTCAAATAGAAATGATTCCGATCAAACGAGTTTAGCAAGTTTCTCCGAAAGTACAAACTCTAAAACTTGTAGTTACAGAAGTAGAAAAAAATTGGCTACCGAGAAAGCAGAAAAATATAAATCGAGGGATAGGTGTGAAGGTACCGATGGCAATTCGGGTGCCAAAAGGAACAACGACGACGGAATTTGCGTAATTCAGTTGAGTCGTTATGACCCTCCCAACTGTATCAAAAACTCGCCAGCCATCGGTGGTAACAACGGAGGTTGTCCTTGTTATTGCTGTACAAATAAAACATTGAATGACAGTCATAAAAATAATAAAGAATGTTCATCAGGCGTTAAAAATGACAATTTGATTCGCCAATTCGATAAGAGAAGCATGCCAAGCTGCAGTAATAATTTGCATGGTAAAAATTTAGTGATAAATGAGAAAAAAAGAGAAAACAAAGCTGCAGATTCAGTTGCAAGATGTGATGAAGCTCATTCAATTGATTCATGTATTGGTCAGTGTCATATAAAATCGAAACGCACGTGCCAGAGTAGCAACTCGAAAGAGTATTCACATAAAAATAACTTGAATCAATGTCAAACTGTTGCAGTTATTAACGAAAAAAGAACACAAAGTGATGCAAAATCAAATGTTAAAAAATGTAAATTTAACGACATAACTATAGACGGGAACACTGAAAATCCCAAAAACTTTAGAAATTCAAAAAAAAATAATTTGCACGAAACAAAAATTTGTAAAGATGAAGAAGACAACGACAACGATGGTGAGTGTGATGCCAAAAAAGTTAAGAGAAGTAGCAATGATGTCAACAAGTTTAAAAACTACAAAGACAATAAGGATTGTGACGATGACGACGATGATGATACTAAAGATGATAACGATGATGTTAGAGAAGATAAGAAGCCTGATGATGGCTGTGACGATTCAGATGAAAATGATGATGACGACTCGTATCGCAAAAATGAGCGTGACAACGACTGTGAAGTTTGCGACAAAAATGTTCAAAAAACATCGAATGAAAGGTTGAAAATTGATAATATCTGCAAAAATAATGAAAAAAGCGAAAAGGTTAAAAGCGAGCAATTGAAGGACAGTGGGTTAAAAATTAGAACAGATGTCAAAAAGAGAGACGATGATCAACGCAACCAAAAAGATGAAGACAACGTAAATGAAGCATCTGCTAAAAAGATGTGTTGCAATAAAACTAAAACTAAGAAATACAGTGCACACGCTTCAACAACTAAAACATTGAATAATATTTGCAGTGAACACGAAAAAATATGCTTCCAAATGACAAAATCTTTAAATAAGGAAAGACAAAGAGAGTCAAATTGCCAGAAGCAGTTAGAAAAAACCGATAGCTGTCAACAACATGATAGAAAAAAGAGTTGTTCTAGTGAGAGTGATAATGAGAGTGTTTCTAGAAATAGTAAAAACACGTCAAAAATTACCCGCAAATTAAAATTATGCAAAAAATGTGATTGCATTATATGTGCAATTGAAAAATGTCTCGATGAATGGCACTCGAAAGTTAAGATGATTGATAATATTATTGATTCTAGAGTAAAAAGTTCATGCCTAATCTCATGCGAAAATAATGATGAAAACAGCAAAGAGATGCGCGACGAAACTACGCGTCGTGACAATGAAAAAATGACTTTGACTGATTCCCATATGGAGGAATGGCGTAATTGTAAAAAAATAGTATCCAGTCGAAACTCACTTTTAGCAAAACAGTCTCAATCAGTTTGTTCGGACTGTTTTTTCAGAGATACCCTCTGCAAAAAAACATCAGCTGAAAAGAGTAATTTTTCCTGTTTAAATATAGAACATCTAGAAAATCTTGAAAATTCACTGAAGAGCCTCGTTTGTAAGCAGGTACTTTCAACGCAATGTTTGTCTTCATGTGACATCGCATTGATCAAGTCTGTAGCCAAGAAACTGCATTCATCTCTTTTTGACCATCATAAACTGCGTCAAAAAATGCCAAACAAAAATTGCACAAGCACACTTGGTAAACAAAGGCCCGATGAGAATGTACAAAAGGAAAACAGTCAGTTACCACAATATTGCCAGGAAAATTTTAAAGATTTGAAAGAAAAAAATCGTGACCTCATAAATTTAACAAAATCTCAAAGACACTGTTTCAAAAGTTTGATAAACTCTGACGATAAAAAATCTCAAATTCGAAAACGTTATTTTGATCGGACCTCGAAAAAAGAATGTAAATATAGCTGTAGAAATAAAACGTTTGATACTGATTGTTCAATAAAAGACTGCTGCCCAAAGCTAAGTAATTCGCGTCAAAAATCTAAAAATGATCGGTGTTCAACTTCAAAAAGTATTTTCAAAGCAATAAATGTGGAAGATTATTCAGGGCATAACTTATTACCTAAGTTTAGAGAAAAACCATTTTGTCTTAAAAAGCAATATTCACATGACCAGAAAAGTATAAATAATAAAAACAGTTTTGAGCGTTGTAATAATCATTCCGAAAATAAATTTCATCTTTTGAAAAATCTTGAAAAAATTACCAATAGTGATTCAACGATAAGCCATGATCACGAAAATTATTCACATTCAGACTCTAGTTGTGACATGAAAAAAGGATTTATTAGTCGCAAACGATCATCAGCAAATAGTGGAGTTTTTATGGATAACAATGAATTCACAGTTTTTAATTTTTTGAAAAAATTCAAAAACCGTAAAAAGTTGAAATGCTACATAAACACATCTGATTTCAAATTAAAAGAAACTCCTGTTAAACCAGCGACGTCAACGTTCAAGTGTGAAAATTATGTCTCTGAATGTAATTGTCCTCCATATGATGCTGCACCTCAAACAGATCAATTGACGAATTCTAGGTGCAAGTCAATGGTAAATTGCAGATCAGAACAACTGAAATCCTTATGTCAATCACCAGAAGAACAAAATAAATTTCGCCTACAATGCTCAAAAGATGTGTTCGTTGAATGTCCCAGACTTTATACAAACAACACTGATACTTGTAGTTTTAACAATCTATCTTTCAATTCAATGTGTCCCGGATGTCATAACGAGTGTTGTCCATTTTTGAGTAATATGAGAGAGTTTCAACCTCAGATTTATTTCACTCCACGTATCATTTACGACAATTTCTGCGCAAACAACCAGAATATTCAAAATAAATATTGGCCAAATCATTTAGCGGAAGAAAATGTAGTTGGGCTCGATGGAGGAGATGAAAATGTACAAAGTACATCACATAATGAGGATTCAGCTAGAAGTCATCCGGTTGTTCACGGTAGAAACTGCGAGTGTTGCATCTGCGATGACGACAAAACCATGACCGTCTGTCCAAGAGCAACACATCAACACACCTTCTAACTACAATCAACTGAAACTGATGAACTGTTTTTTAATTTATTTTGTCCAATCACAAATAATATTTGACAGCTGATATTTAACAGATAGACAAATTCATAAATTTGAAACAGAAATTAATTTTTCAATCTACGTCATCAAGAGCAAATAAAAATTGTAATATGTTTCTCTTCACCTCTCGAAACGAATACAAACATCCCACTAAAAAGGAATTGTAAAAATTGAATATAATTTGTCGTATTATATTAAAAAATTTATCTCAGTCTAACAAACATCGTGATAGTTAAGTGTTGTGTTTTTTAAAAATACCAAAAATGTAAAATATTTAGATCTGTAGACATATTTTCAACATCCGCATTATATAAAATAAAGGTTATAATCGATTATTTCAATTTTTAATACATGATATGAAGCAAACGACACTTTTTTGATGAATTTTACAAGGTAGATACTGGAATTTTATTTGGTGATTTCCTTTTCAATATAATTCAGTTGGGAAATGGAAAAGGTGAGTTTGAAAACTAAACGTGACTCCGAAGACAATCAGCAGAAGAAAAGATCCAGCCAAAAAAATGAGCAAGTAGATGACTCAGAAAAAGATCCCATTGTTATACTGAGGCGTTTAAGACAGAAGATAGACGCAATCCGCGTTCTCGATCCTTACTATCAAACTAAACTAACTCAAAATGAACTCGATCGTTTCATGCAAAGTCGTGATGCCTTGCAGAAGGAGATCACGGAGAGGGAGAAATACAGAAACACCGGAGACAAGTCGCAGCACGACAAATTGATGACTCGTGAAAAACAGAGAAGAAAAAAAGAATGTTCGAGGAAGTTTGCTAAAAACAATGGCGATGATGATGATTACGAACATCCATCCGGTATGTCGTTTGCTCAGTTTAGGACGCTGCTAACCAACTGCTCCACAAATCCCATGGAAGCCATAACACAATGAACAGCCCGAAGATAATGACAACTGATTTTTAACATTTTATTACGAATGAAATGATTTTTTGACAAAATTTGTGAAATTATCTCTTTGTCTGATTTGTTTTTGATCATTGTGTTGTGACGTAAAATGAAATAAAAAGAAAAACAGAAAAGTTTTATGAAAATAAACAAAAAAAATGGTTAAAAATTATAGGAAAAAACTAAATAAAATGAGAACATTTAATAGAAATAAATAATTAAATAAAATCAACAAAAATGGCGAAAAAAACTTCGACGTTGCCGAAAAGAACTTCGAGGTTGTCGAAAAGAACTTCGAGGTTGTCGAAAAGAACTTCGACGATGCCCAAGTATGATAAAGTATCCTTGAATACGATTAGTGCCGAAGATCTAACGCACAATACTAACAACAGTCAAAAAAAAGATGCGAAAGGTGGCGGAAAAGATGCTAAAGGGGGTGGAAAAGATGCTAAAGGCGCTAAAGGAGGTGAAAAAGATGCTGCAAAAGGAGGAAAAGCTGCTCCTTCAAAGGGCGCTGGTAAAGATGCGAAAGATGCAAAAGACGCAAAAGGAGGTAAATCTGCCCCGGCAAAAAGTGGAGGTAAAGATGCAAAAGATGCGAAAGGTGGAAAAGGTGCCGCTCCTGGTAAGGAATCAAAAACCAGCGGAGGGAAAAATGCGAAAGAAGGGACACAAGATTCTCCCGGCAAAGAATCGAAAGCAGGAGGTTCTCCTGAAAAAAGACCTAGAGAGGACAGAGATAAAAAATCACCTAGCGATAAAGAAAGAAAAAAAGAGAAAAAAGGAGGCGAAAAAAAAGTTAAAGGTGATTATTGTTATAAGCCTGAAGATTCGGATGTGGAAGGAGAATACGACGACAACGCTCCAACCTTGTCCGCTTATCAAAAAATTGTCGAAAGAGCATTCAACAAAAAGCCTTTAGCGGTACTAAAAAGACTTCGGTGCTCTTGTGATTTGGGATTTGAACCAATGTTGATGCCACAAATTCCAAATGAAAACAAAGATGACGATGAGGAGGATCCAAGTGCTGAATTTGAAAAAAGAATTGGCGGCGGCGGCGGTGGCGGTGGCGGTGGCGGTGGCGGCGGCGGTGGCGGCGGTGAGAAAAGGAGGCGAGAGAAATAAGCAAACGTAGCAGCATCATGAATGATCCGGCATTCAAAGTAGTCCATTTTTTTACAAATAAAAGTTTTGAAGCTAAAAGGATTAAAATTATTTTTATTAAATTTAAAAAGACAAACGCTGCGTATAGTTTGAATTTAGTGCCTACATTGTAACAGTCTCTCAAGAACATGAATAATGAACACATTAATTCTAACAATATAAATCAATTCAAATTGAATATGACATTAAAAATATTTTTTCAAATTTATTTTTAAAAGTGAAGTTTTTTAAAATGATTATTTTGTGGCTATAAAGTTATGTTGTATATAAATATTAACTCAACTCATAAATAAATAAGCAGTTTGATTTTAATTTTGTGATTGCAATAATGAAATAAACGCCCAAAGACATATCTCCCATAAATTTGTTTTAATTTGATTTCATAAAAAAACTAAACATCAACCACCTTTCTGGTTAGCTTACAACAGATCTAATATCTAATTTAATCGTTTCTCCTTAATTTTTAGATGCGGTAAAAAATTTCATCTGTAAAAAAAGTTTTGGACTCATTTTTGCGAGACGATTTCTCTTAATGAAAATTTATTTAAGAAACACTTTTAAACAAACCAAACGTCACAAGATTCAATATATAAATAACAAAAACATTCAATGGGTTGATAGAAAAATTATTAACAATGTTAAATTATCAGTAAACCTCATTCGCAATAGAAAACAATTGCACATTTCGTTAGGAAAATTGAAGTAATTGGAAACATTTTTGATGGCCGATAAACAAAAAAAGGCAAAAAGTGGACCACCAGACGCGAAAGCCAAAAAAGAGCAACCACCAGCAGCAGAAAAGAAGGAAAGAAAACCTCCAGAAGAAGAAAAAAAAGTAAAACCAGGAAAAGAAAGCAAAAAAAAAGATAAGGAAAGTGGTGGTGAAGATAAAGAAAAAACTACCAAAAAAGGCCACCCATCCGGTCTGTCATTCTGGCAGTTTAGAACATTTTTTTCATGTTTTCCTAGCGATGTGCCAAATAATTCGACAGAAGATCCAAACAACGACTTAGATGATTTGAGTGAATCGTCTGACTCAGATGGCCCGGGTGAGGCAGGGGATTGTGAATATTTTGGAAGAGATCGAAAACATCACCATAGAAACATGCATCCTGATTCAGATAGCATGGATGACTGCAAGAACAGACACAAAAAACATCGCCGAAATCATGTTGCAGCTAATAATTGCACAATATGCAACACATACGACGAAAGAGGTCCGATACATGGCAAGTTTTTGGCGTTAGGTTGTGGTAACCCGGCCAACCATGGACATCGTAAACACAAAAGAATAAAACCAAATTATTATGAGGACGGTTATGGACATAGTAGTTCTTCAAGCTCAGAATACTCAGATAATAATGACATGAGTGATAGCGACTCTTACGGTGAAAATTTAAGCTACGGCCTCGGTTGCCGTCCCAAAGCAAGCAAAAATCCACATTGCAAAGTTTGTATTCCTAAACATAACTATAAACAGTGCAACGTTCCTTCTGGCAGAGGTTCCAGATATAGTTCTCCATCTAGCTCTAGAGAACATTCTGGACATGGTTCAAGACGCAAATTGGGACATGGTTCAGGTTATCATTCTGGAAACAGCGACGGTTATACACCTTATAAACACAAGACTAGAAAAAAATGTGACGTCAAGTGCTGTCCAAAAGTCAAAATACAAGCAAAGCCCGGTGGCAGTTGTTTAGATAAATTTTCATCTGGCTGTAGGCAATACGTGAAATTTGTAAAAAACCGTTGCGATATTGGAGCTGAAAAAAAACCAAAAGATGACTGTTGTACAAAAAAACAGCATATTTCTCGAACGCTAAAAAAATATGAACTTCGCCACGGATGTAAGAAAAAAAATCGTTTCAAGAAACATTCCCACAAACACAGAAGGAATGGCTATGATTATGACGCCGATGATTACCACGTAGGCGATAGATACATGCCGCATTATTACGAAGACAACATATACAACTACCCCGGTTATCATCATTTAGGAGCACAAAGTGGGGGTTTTCATAAAAGAGGAGGTTCATACATGGGCCAATACGATAGCCCTCAAGGTCCTATGTACGGTCGCAATCCTCACATGGGTCGACTAGATGAAAATTATTATGATTTTCCCTACGATGGCTACAGACACCACCACAAGTTCGACTCTCCTAATATCTACTATTAACTTATCCTGTTAATTAGTCTCCAGTTTCTTAATGTTAAAAGAATAGTAATATCAATAATTTTTGTCCATAGAATCAGAAATTGCATTTTATAGAACTGACGTAATGCTGTAAATGTTTGCTATTTAAAAAAACAAAAACAAAAATTCTTATTTTACAAATTCTCTGAAATTTATCACCAATAAAAACTACAATGGATAAACACGTTTTGAGAAATATTTTTGAAAATATAATGAAAGAGCGATGTAGTCACAACGAATGGAAAAATAATTGCTTGAAAACAAAAGAATTGTTTACAGGACTTTCGAGTAACAATACAAATTTTTTTGGAGAATTTATTGAAAATTATATGAATAATAAAAATAAGGATGCCGAAAATATCAGCAAACAAAATTTCAATCTATATAAACCAACCGGCTTCGTTTGGAAAAAAAATGACCCGAATAATAGCTTTAGTGCATTCAATTTATTCAAACAAAGAGAAGATTATTGGCATGGCAAACAAAGAGTTGTTGAAAAAAGGTTGAAAAAACTTGAAAAAATTATAAAATCTAGTCCAAGCATAAGTCTAAAACAGTCTGACAAAAATTCAAAACGCCATAAAATTAAAAAAGCTGAAAGTGATAGCCCAAATTTAGAACTCAAAAACCTGTACGCAAAAAAATCCGGAAAGAAAAAACGTAAAAGAAGGACAAGTTCACGACAGAAGGTTGACCTCAACAAATCAAGGAACGAAAGATCCCAAAGTAGGGAAAACAAATCGGACAGATTCGAATCAAGTACTCAAACATCTCCTAAAGGTATGTCAAAAAAATGGCACAGCACGTTGAAAGTGCGCGAGTGGTGTGTCTCATCAAAATTCGATGCCAGCAAGTTATCCGCTTCATCCTACATGAAGGCTGTTGATCAGATATTTAACGACAAAAATGAACAGAGAAAGATGTTCGTCCCCTACCAGCATCCGCCAAGACCGCCCGTCGAAAAGTTTGATGACAGTGTCAATTTCGCGAGAAGGTTGAACGCTGGAAAAGGATAAGTTTTTTAAGTTAACTAGGAAAATGTACTATGTACCGTCTTTACTAATTTTTAATGAATCCAAGGTTTCCATTAAATATTGACCAGATATGTAACAAATATATTTATACTTAGTACTTTAAATATCATGAAAATGGGAATTTATTTGCTATCACACATTTTTGAATGGAATACACATCATCATTTACTTGCTTCGTTCGGTTGCTTACACGTATTTCTTTGAATGTTAAACAAACTAAATTAAAACTTTGTATTGTCTTCTATGGGTTTGATAAATATTAAGACCTTTCGATAAAAAATAAAAAAGTTTCTTGCATTTTCACTCACGACACACACACTTAAACATACAAACACACGCACACACAAACTTGTTGAACACACAAAAAAAACAAAATGCGAATAGAGAACTTATTTAAAATAACAAAATAAATAATGGAATTTCTAATTTTTCTATGTTACTTTTGCATTATAAATTCATTAATGGATTAACATTAAACCTACAATAAAAATACGCTAAAGTTATATTTTATGCAATCTCCATCGCTTACGTCAGAAAAATTTAAAAAAAAAACAACAAAAAAACAAAACAAATAGTGGTAAATTGAAAAACCACAAACATGGCTAAGTTAACAAGGGCTACATCCCTGATAACATTTACAACGACCCATTACAAAAAATTGTCAATAGAAAATTTGACTGAAGAAAGTTCAGGTTAAAAATAACTTCCCTAAATAGTGATCATGATTACCTATTTGTTGTTCTTACCGCCTTATATTTATATTGAAAACCTTTCTTTCAGAAAAGACATGGAAGATAAAAAAGGTAAAATGATTAGCTTGGTAAATTAATTATAAAATAGATATGATATAATTATTATCATAATTATTTTGGTAATACTAATAAACTAATAAAATAACAAAACTTTGGTAAAATAAAAAAAATAGATATGATATAATTATTATCATAATTATTTTGGTAAACATTTAAACTATATTATTGTATGATAACAATTATACAATAAATAAATGTGTGTATAACAAATTTTGTTTTGTTCTAAATCACATCCTTTCTTAGGTACGCAATAAAAAACCGACAAAGAACGTGAAAAATAGGTAGTGAGTTGTTAGATTTTTAAAATGAAGAATAAAAAATCAGAATGAATTTTAAATTCAATCTGCTGGCGTATGTTGAGGGCAGAACTGTTCATTACGCAAAAAATCTAACATAAAAACATTTGAAATCTCTTATATCTACTCTACATTTACAGTACATAATAGTAAAATTAAATACACATCACATGCATCTAATATTTTTCATAAAATTACTCACTTCAGTTTTGGCATTATTGACGATCTGCAAACAATACTATACAACCTGAACAAACACAACAACTCGGATAAAAAGTGCGGAGAAGATTGTCCCATTATCATTTTTCCGAGTTTTTCAAGCGTCCCCAAGGGTACCTGTGACTTGTGTGGCGGATGCTGTGGCTGCCCGGATATTTATACACCTTTGCAAAAGTTGATTGATTATTTGTTCAAATGCATACAGCTTTGAAGGATCGAACAACAGCCTTATTATTTAACTACTAATGAGTAATTTCGAAGAAGTATTTGTGTGGAAATTTTCTTTTTAAAAATGTAACACTTTTTTTTATATTTTTGAATAACTTTTGATTTCCTAAGAGCGTTGGGTGTCATTTGGTTTGATGTAAAAACAGCCTAAAAAATAAGTTGGTCGTCATTTTGTTGAGAATGTTTTCAATATAGGTCCAAAAAATAACTGACATATCGATCGTAAATATAACATCTATCCAGTGTGTGATAAATGCTTAAAAAATGTCGAGTCCACACTATTGCAATAGAATTTAAATTTTTCATTTCTCCATAAACAAAAAAAAAGACACGTCATAAGTAACACATGTGAATAAACAACAAAATAATCAAACCTAAATACCAAACTTAACCTAATAAAAAACAATGCTAACAAAAAGTACATCGTTGATAACATTTCAAAAACACCATTACAAGAAACTCTCGTTGGATTCATCGGATGATGAAAATATGACAGGTACTGATCGCCTCACTCATTACGTTGAAATTGTAATGTTTAGTATTGCATTGAACTGTATTTTATTGTATTTTATTGTAGTGTATAGTATCGCCTTGTATTGTATTGTAAAGTAATATATTGCAGTGCATATTTTTTGAATTGTATGATAAATGATGATGCTTATCATTAGATTTTACTTATTTTTCAATCAGGCCATGAGTTGAAGGTTGTTTTAAAATTTTAATTACGATTAAGCTGAAATCATCATCACCATCATTGTCGTCATTATCATCTTAATGGTTACCTCATTGATTGATTGATTGACTGACTGACTGACTGACTGACTGGCTGACTGGCTGACTGACTGACTGACTGACTGACTGACTGACTGACTGACTGACTGACTGACTGACTGACTGACTGACTGACTGACTGACTGACTGACTGACTGACTGACTGACTGACTGACTGACTGACATCATCGATCGATCGATTGATTGATTGATTGATGGATTGATTGATCGTTGTTGTTATTACTATTCTGCCATCATCTCGTCATTTCATTACAATTGTATATATGTATGAGTTAAGTTATCACCGCCATGTGATTTTCATCGTCCTAGTCACCAACGTCATTTCAAAGTGGTTGTGTTTATAAGTAGTCATTATTATTGAAAGTCAAAAAGTCATTATTATTAATACCCTTGCCGTAATTGCTGTTTCACTTTAATTGAGTTCATGAATGAGTAATAAATTTATTATTTAGGAAAGTTATAATAAGAATGAAAGAAAAAAATTTAAAACGAGGTTACTTTACTATTTATCAATTGATTATTCGATCAGATCAATCAATCATTCGATAAATCAATCAATCAATCAATCGATAAATCAACCAACCAATCAATCATTCAATCAATCAATCAACCAACCAATTTATCCATCCATTCATTCATCCATCAACAAACCAACCAACCAATTTATCCATCCATCCATCTATCCAACCATCCATCCATCCATCCATCAATCAATCAATCAATCGATCGATCGATCAACCAATCAACCACTATAGTCTATGATTTGGTACTTGCGCGTGCGTATATATCACGAAATTTTTTAAACCATCTTTGTGTGGTACGTTCAGATGCACCGACGTCGCCCCATGCTTCCACAATATTACGAGTTGCCTATACCGCATTATGCCCGAGTTTAAACTCATGAAGCAAAATAATCCGAAAATTACGCTTAGACAACATTCTCAAATATCGCTCAAAATCAAAGACACTGAATAGTTGGACCAATTAATTAATAAAGGCTAGATAGAAGAATAAATAACCTTCAAAATGATATATAATGAACAATATATTCAATAAATTGTATTTAAAAATTTAGTGATGAAAAATTTATTAACATAAAACCGACATTATATTTGCACCAACCTAATAATACACAGAGATGACAAATGACATTTTGCTAAACATTTAGAGCAATTGACGCTAAGAACATATAAATAACACTGACTATGTCTGTAAATAATAATTTAAAAAAAAAAACAAATAATTTTAATGTTCATCACCATTACATTTCAGACATGAGCTGTCCTCCTATCAAAAAAACAACAACAGAAAAAAGAAAAAAGGGAGAAAGAAAAAGGACAAAAATGTTGAGGGAAAAAATGATGCAAATAAAAGCAAGTGTCCAATAATTATATTTCCCTGCATCACTTGTGGCTGTGATGGTTGCGATAGAAGTGGCCCTGGTGGTTCTGATGGTTGTTGTGGCTTTGATAGTTGTGGTAGAGGTTGTGGTTGTGTCTGCTGTAATATTGGTAGCCGTTGTGGTTTTAAAAGTTGTGCTCCTCGTGTTTGTGATAGAGGTGGCTTGGGTTGTTGTGGCAACGGTAGTTTCATTAGCAGAGGCAATAAAAGTGGTTTTGATTGTTGTAGAAAGAGAGGGGCAGGAAGTGGTTGTAGAAGGTGCATTTGCTGTGACTGTTAGACGGGAAGGATGATCACAGCAAATAAAAATTTTAAAATTTTTATCAGTTCTCGATGGCGTTTATTATTAATGCGTTGCGTTCATTCACTCTTCCTTCAAGTCTTCATCTTTAATTTCTGTTTCAACTGACATGACGCTATGAAAGAAAATTAAACAATAAATGTTAACATGCTTCTAATAAACTCAACCAAAAGGAACTCAAATTTTAAAGCAAAGAGTTTAGTAATAACAAAACGTCAATGCAAATATGAAATGATTTTAGAAAAATAAAAAAGCAAATTTTTTTTTCAAATTAATAAAAAAACTCAAATGTTATTCCTATTGCAAGTTCAATATTTGAATATAAACATTTCATATGTGCTTTTTAATTTTAATTATAAAAAATTATTACAAATTTGTTTATTTTTCCTAAAAAATAGTGCAATGAAGAGTAAATTAAAATGTTAAAGCCATGAATTCTAAACCAAACCTCTGTAAACAAAAACAAATTTTATAAATAAAACAAAATAAAATACTCATCAACACATAAGTGTAAATAGCAGACGTTAAGCCACTTTGAGATTTCATGTTTGTTCTTAATGAATAATAAAGAAAAAAAGTAGTAATTTGAAAAAACGAATTTGTAGCATCTTTTTAGTGCAGCAAATGATGTTACCAAAAAGCAGATCTCTAATAATTTTCACAAAAAATCATTACAAAGCGTTGTCTATCGATCATTCTTCTGACGATGAGCTTAGAGGTTTGGCGTGTGCTGTTTCATGTAGGGTCGTATTGATGGTGGGGCAGAAAGGGCCACTGCATCTGGGCCCCCCAACAAAAAATAAACCACTAATATTAGGATAATCCACTATTATCAGAATAGTAAAACTTAAACTGCCTAAACTTTTTAAAGCACTGGCTCTATTAATGATATTGTTTCATCCTCAAACGTAATGTGCAACAAAATTAAGTTAAAATATTTATAGGTCTGCTGTGAGTATCTAAAGGGCTCCTCTTGTTTGTTTCCCCCAGGGTCCGCACCCACTAATCTTATCCAGGATCTATATTTTATATTTTGATGTTTCTATTTCAGTTTAATTTACTTATTTTATTTAAACAATTTATGCAATTAATGTATAAATACTCATTACTATATAATCTGTTTATTATACAAACAATTTTAACCGTAAAAATGTTCGTTAAAAGACAGATCAAGTAAACACAACTTGAACAATAACAAGAAAAAAAAGAAAAAAGCGAAAAAGAATAAAGTAAAGAAAAAAAGCGGAAAAGCAAACGAACAAACTGTAACTGCATTGCTGATGCCGAACCCTTGCTGTGATCCAGCGAGTTGCTGCAAGACGAACTGTCCCATGCAGGAGATCCTCGAGAATGTTATCGAGTTGTTGTATGAAAAGTTGGTCAGTTAACATTAGGCCTGCTTGCCAACTCGGTCCATTTCTATCCTTTATATCTGCAGCTCACATTTTTTGTTAACCGAACAATCTATGTAAAAATGTTTTTAAAAAAAATTTGATTTTTTAATAAATTAACGTCAATAGCATTCATTATTAATTAATAAATACATTTGTAACTGTACTAACTTTCTTGAATTACAGATAGGAACCCAATTTTATTATTTAATATTCCAGTAGCACGTGTTGAATACGCTGTTTTATTATGTTTATGTTCGGCCCTAAATTATCATAACGTCATGAAACCAAAGTAAACTCATCAGGTAAACAGTAAATAAAATGAACAAAAAAATTGTAAAATTTTGTTAAAAATCGCAAAACAAACCTACCAAAAAAACATTTTGAAACGGTAGATGAATGACATCATCAACATGGCGGAAAGGGGAGCGAATAAACAGGTTCCCTTTGAAGAATGGCAAATTTCCGGTAGCAACTCGAAGGATGATGTCGTTCCCAAAGAAAACGAGAAACAAAAAAAACATACTAAATCAAATAAGATTAAGGCGCACAGTCATAAAAGTTTACAAAAGCATTCCAAAAATTTGGAAAAAACACCAAACAAAAAGTTGAACACATTTAATGTAAAATGTCAGGCTGATAATCAAACTAGTTATTGGCAAGAGGAGCTGAATCAACTGAACGATTTGGAATCTTCTGTCAATGAAAAAAATCTAACGGAACTTCGATCTAAGACGCGTAAGAATGAAAAATCTCGAACAAGAATTGATGAGATAGAAGCAAGTGATTGTCAAGTAACAAGAGAAGGAAGCAAAAAACGAAAATTGAATAACGCCGGCAAGCGCCCAAAAGTGGAATTCAATCTACCAGCGAGTGAAATAGAAAATATACCAAGTGACGATAAATTTGGTAGACAAAGTTTAACTAACGATATTATAATGATAAGCGATCCCCTCTTTGGCGATAAAAAGCATGTAGAAAAAGAAAAGCAAAAGCTTTATAAAGCTTTCAAGAGACTAAATTTTGAAAAGTTGAAAAAAAAATTGCGGAAAGATAATCAGATGATCAAAAACAAACTAGAAACAATAAGAAGTAAGTCAGTTTTGTGCGAAACTGTTGGCTTCAATGAAAATAATGGACAGGCTATTGAAAATGAAAAGAACACTTTCAACAAAAATGAAACAAAGATCAAGTCCGATCTGGCTGATTTGCAAAAAACAAACAACGCTAATTTGATCCCTGATTCCTTATCTGTCGTAAGTTGTTAAGTAAAAAATTATAATTTCAACGATTTAATAAATGTACTGGGTAAATAAATAAGCAAATTAACACTACAGAATCGTCAAACTGCGCATAGATATGAACGTGGATGTGCGAATTAACTTTTTTAAATCAATCACATTACAGTGATTTTATGACTGACTAAATAACTATGTTAACACAAGTGTTATAATCATCCTACACATTTTTGTTATTTGCTAGATCATCAACAATATAAGAATGTAAAATTTAAAATTAAATTTAAAGTTTGCCAGCAACCTGATTGCGAACATCCAAACATTTCAAACATTCAATTGAAATTTATTGAATTTAATATTAAAACAACATTTTCAGAGAAACGCTGCCGCCTTTTTTGACTGTTTCCCGTGCTTTTCAGGCTTAAGAGAAGTTTGTACTCCGTCGAAAAAATGTGACTGCAGAGACGCTGGTTTCCAAGTTCCTTACGGATGTTGTGGCGGGAAAAGTGGTTGTGGCAATAACATCATATTTGGTAGTGATAGATTTGGTAACGAATCAGGTGGGGGTAATTCCTTTTATGTACCTGGTCGTGGAAACGGAAACAGTGCAAAGTCCAAATGGGAACCCAGCAGTAATGGCTACGGATTTGGTGGCTGTGGTTACGGCTATGGTTACGGCTATGGCTTGGATAGCGGCAGACCTAGCAATGGATTTGGTTACGTTGCAAACAGGCCTGGTCTCATTAGTAATCGTGATATTTACTGTTCACCTGCTCGTAGTTCACCGTTCTTTTCCTTTTCTGACTCATCTTCCCCGTTTTTGAAATCTAACTTACCACACCCTCGTTTGTTTCGTTCGTCTCGATCTCCAGCTAGTTCACGTGGAGGTTGTTCGTCTCGAGGCTTCCGAGAAGAATGTTTTCCAACAAGATCAATTTCATGCCGTAATACAAAAGATTATTCCTCGCGTGAACAGCCAGGTTCCAGCTTCATAGATCTCTACACACGAACATTAGCAAGGGCGTGGAAAAACTTAGAGGATTTACTTTTTGATCCTGCTTTTCGTTTGATGTGTAACGACAGTTACAACACATACGATCGCAGAACTGCTGACTACCAAAACTGTGATTGTCAAAACCCTGATTGTGAATATGGCCCAAATATAGGTTCTGATGGTGGTGCTGGAAGTTGTCCTTCAGGATGTTCATGCGGATATGGATACAACAACAACCTTCCTTCATCTACCGGTCGCCTTCCAAAGGGCGATGATTTCACCGGGATGTATTCGGACAACGAATATAACGATGACAAAGAATTGGTTTTTTATGACCGACTGTTGAATTATTTGTCGAGTTATCATACAGGCTCTAATGATCAAGCTTCTTCGCCGGCACTCTTCAGATATCTCGTTGATTCATGTAAATTTGTCAATTCTTTAAAAAGGTTGTCCAGCCTCTCTTGATTTCATTTTTTTGCATTTTAGTTTTGATACATATTTATGAAGTGTAAAAATTGAATGGAGAAACTTTCGTGTAGCATATTTTAAAATCTTATTTATTTGCAACGAAAAATTAACACTTCTAATTATCATGTAGCCAAAACTTAATAAATATTCTTTGTGTTAGATAAAAAATAATAAACAAAATTTTTATGCTTTTGTGTTGTTTCTTCTACTTATTTATTTATTTATCTTAATTCTATAGTTCAAGTCAAAAAATTTTTTGTTAATTTAGCAATACTACATATAGGACCAGAATGTCAAAAAAACTTTTTTGGGGAAACTGGTTATCAAAAAAATTCTAGTTAATTTAGAGGTACTTACTACATATAAGACCAGAAAGTCAAAAAAACTTTTAAAAAGGGCTTTTTAAACATTCCCACTGCATTTTTTGAATCAACTTTTATTTATAATGAAATCATATTAAATATTTCAAGGTATATTATAGTAATATAAAATAATTGGTTGCACAAATATTATTTCTTAAAAAGTAGTGTTATTTCGTCATAATATATCGTCAGTTATGAAACATTAGGCAGTTCAATAGCATCAAGTTTATAAGGACCAGACATTAGATCATTTTAACGTGTTAACAATATGTTTGAAATAATAAATTAGATTTGTCGGGTCATTTCTCAACGGCAACAACAACAGCTTCAGCAACACATCTGCTGCATACATCATCTGTCGCATCTAGAGACGCTACACTTATTTGTAGCAATATCAGCTATAATATTTTGCAACAGCATTAGCTACAATCATTTGCAATAGCAACCGTTGCAGCAACAGGTACCGCAATCATTTGCTTTCTCCATCAAGCAGTCGATGAGTTTGTTGAGAACTAAGAACTGAGGAACGCAGCAGTAACCCTTACAGCACCCACCTGGATGAATTATAAGAGGACATTTGTCGGCACTGCCACCTTTCTCGTCTTTTTCTTTATTTTTCTTTGATTTTTTAGCTTTTCCTTTTTTCTTTTTTTTCTTTTTGTTGTTATTTACATTTGGATATCTAAGCAAATATATTTCGTTTTTATGATAAGATAAATAAACCGATATTTGTAATTTACATCAGTTATCTAAACAATTAATGGTTGTAATTTACATTAAAATATCTGAATCTGCATTTGTAGAACATTGGATTTAAAAGATGAAAAATGTATGTTTCTAACTTTTCTTTGGCACTGTTTGTATTGCTGCCCTTGTGAATTTATGACATTTGGATTAACATTAAATTAAAATATCTTTTTTCAATGTTATAAGTAAATTTAAAGTTACGCTAAGTGCCATATATTTTCGTAACCAGTCAGAAATTCACTGATGTTGCAAAGTTGTAAATATCATAATTACATTTTTTTGTTCGTTCCAATCCACATAGAGTTTTCTATAATCACGTCTGCTAAATGCTATTAGCGATGTTGTCCTAGTCAGAGCCATGACATTTTGTAATAAACGCCCTGTCGGTTGTTCAGAAAAAAATATTCAAGTTTATTATTATATGTTTACGCATATATTGTTTACAAAATTTACAATACGTCACACAATCTTATTGAATTAGAAAATTTATCTCATAATAAGTACAGGCGGAAGGCTTGCTGATGAAGTACATTGAGTAAATTTCTGACTTTAAACACATCCTGCTAAAAACTGGGGGGCATCTTTGTGGAAAAGGTTAATTATAACTAAGTAACAAATGCGTTTGACTGAGTTTGATTTACAGAATAAAAAAAGTTCTCAAGCCTAATTCTCTATGGGACACATGAAGTCTTCCTACGTTGAAGTTGGAAAATACTGAAGAAATTAATTTTAACTGTTATATATTTATATATATATATATATATATATATATATATATATATATTTATATATATATATTTTTCAAAAAATCAGGGTCTGACAAGACATATATATATATATATATATATATATATATATATATATATATATATATATATATATATATATATATATATATATATATAATTCTTTAAAAATCAGGATCTGACAGGACAGACGCAGAAACTGTTACAACATGCAAGGCAGTAGTACAAAGTTAAACAAATAAGTAAATATATATATATATATATATATATATATATAATATATATATATATATAAAGCACATTACCACTATACTTTCAAAATGTTTATTTTATGTATTTGAGATAGTCCCGTTTTGACAATTAAACGTTTGTGATGTTTTGGATATTAGTCTAACCTAACATCACACAACAACATGCAACCGTGAAATATTTTGTCGTTTTGTCATCTATCTTCTCATTCTATAATTATGTACTAATTCCACTAACTTCACGTAGGTTGATTCATTAATTTAATTAATTTATTCACATTATTGTGTAATAATCGATGGATCGAATTTAAATTTTAATTCAAATGATAGAAAAATAAAATAAGAGTTTATTTAAAATTTTTTAAAACAAACTAGCAAGTAATAACTGAGTGAGACAAAATACTTAAAAGAACTGAACTTTCTATTTAATAATTTATTTTTATTTTTTCATAAAACTGTAAAAGGAATTAAGAATTCATTTTGTTTGATTTGATCCATACAAAAGCAAACAAGTCTTTCTTATCATTATTATCTTTTTTATCCGTTTATTTATCAGTTTCATAATTTCATATCTTAGGAAAGGAAATAATAAAATGATTTAGAGTAGCATAAGGCTATAAATAAGTCAAGAGCATAACTGATTCTCAAACAACCCATTGTCAATAACCATTGAATGCCAAGCTACCAAGATAAAAGGTTTAACAATGTTTTATTAACATTAAAAATTAAATTACTTAGTTAAATAAAATATTTTTTTAATTAATTTAATAAATCAGTAAGTTTTTTTATTTAAATTTGAGTAAAATTAAATTTTATGTTTCAGGATATAAGAGCCAACAGTTATTTATAGTATGTGTAATTGTAATATAAATGTTTTTTTTTAATTAAGTGTATTTACTTAGGATTAGATTAGGATTAGGCCATTAGCTAAAAGGGGAAATTGGATAAGAAAAAATTTTTTTTCACTTTATTTTCATTTAAATAACTAAGCATTAACCTATACAATTAATAATAATGAAAAAATTTAAATGATTTCATTTTCAATTGACAGAAAATGAATTTTTTTTAGCTGATGATTGATTTTCATTCTCTTCACAACTATCATCATTTTTGGTCCTGACAACATAAGATGCTGCAAGCAAAAGCCCTATATGACAATCATTCAGAGTCATGCGAGGAGTTGTCGTTTCGAAGTGGCGACATCCTCTCCATTGTTGAAAAAAATGTCAATGGCTTGGAAGGTTGGTGGCTCTGTTACCATGGCAACAAGTTGGGTATTGCACCTGGAAATAGATTGAAGGTATTGAAGCGATACCCAGCAACTGAGGATAAAGATAAAGTGAGTAAACAATGAAATTGGTTACATTTTTTCTGAAAACATAATTGACGGCTATAATAAGTTGAAGTAGTAATGTAATGTTGAATGAAAATAATCATCACTTGATAAGAATTTGTACAGTAAACAATATTAACTAGTTTTTTATATAGTGCTATAAAAACTACTTCAACCAGCTTTGTTTCTGATAGAATTGTTAAACTGTGCCAACATGTGCATCTGTTTTTATGTGTACAAAATTATCCTTTCTAGTGCACATGTATTTAATTTGCAATGTCAACAACACTATTGCAAATGAAAAATGGTTTAAACATGTTTTGATGTTATTTATTATGATTGCTAGCAACAACAACATCTTTGATCTAACACTCAGACTCTAACACGTGATGATTCATCTCGCCAGTGCAACAACTACAACTTACCAGCATCTTTGAATGACAACAAACTTAATCAAGGTAATGATTTGTATGATTCACCATCTTCTTCTGAAAAAAGAAACTACCCACACTCAGCAACAAAACTGAGCAACAGCAGCAACGCTACAGGCAGCCACACAGCCAGCAGTTGTGGCTCCAACTCGCCCAACAGATCCAGCTTGTTGTCCATGCTATCCACAGGCAGTTCCAGTTTGAGTGACAGCGCTCGTTCCAGTGCGGATGTCTCATTTTCAACTTATGATATGCTGCCATCATGTAACTCTGCAAATAAGATTCAGAAATGTTTATTTAAAAGAGAAGAGAATACTCATACTAATAAAAGTCGATGTAATGTTAACAAAAGTGCTGCGAGTGTGGTCAGCTCTTCTGATGACCAGAGAGATTCATATCTAGAAGATTACTCCTTTCCAAGAAATGCTAGTTGTGATAATGCCCAGAATGATAACAACAACAGCAGCAACGACAATGAATTTGTAAATGTGGCAGACTCTAGAGCATTTTTTGAAGATTTGTATGATAGTCCAAGAAGATGTTTGAATGCAAATGCATCGGCAGCATCTCTATCTTCCCCAGAGAAACAACCATTGACAATGCTTCCATCCTCATCTTCATTCGACGATTCAACGTTGAAAGGGTACAACAAACAGGTCATTGATCAACTTTACGATGTTCCTCAATCTCTCATCAACCAGCATCAGTCAAATAGTTTGAACAGTACCCTTCTCATTAAGAATGATAGTGATGAGATCGTTTTAAATGATTATAAAATTCAGAAAGATATCGAACTAGACAACCAGAGTCGTGTTGAATCATCTCACGACAACTCACAGCCAGTCATAAAACAGCAATCGCAAGCTGATAAACATCAAATTGGCAAGGTATCAGTACCAGTTAACGTACTGCCAATGATGTCCTTGCATGAAGACATTAAAAAGTACAACCAGAAGTTGAGAGGTTTTGTACTGGAAATGGGAGATCCGAAAGCAGATGATCTTGAACCTGACAAGGCTACTTTGAAGATGTCTCAAATAAAACTATGTTGCTTGTCACTGAAATCTGCTCTCAAAGAACTGGTAGATTTTGCCAGTAATTCAAAATTTCCACAGGTTGATGGCGGGTTAGTTATGGATAACAACTCAAATTTAGAAAGCATAAAGAACAAAATTGAAGTTTTGAAGTGTTCTTTGAAAGAATTTGAAGAAAAGACAAATGAACTACACATCAGCAATACAAAGAGGAATGGCAATAACACCACAAGCAATAAGAAACTCGTCAATATAGATTTTTTGCAACTCTTATTGAATGCTGCCAACAAGTTGCCACTGGCTTCTAATATGCTCATTTCTGACATCTGCTCATATTTCAACGTGAACGACAACAACCATATTGTAACTGCCAGTTGTGTTGATGAACAGTCTCCATCGAAACCCATGTTACCTGCTAGGTCCACCTCTGCCATGCAGGCACACCAACAAACGTCATTAAATGCTGCTGCAGCAGCGAAAAAGTCAATTCAGAGCAGACCGTTGCCGGCACCACCGTTAAACAATTTCCGACTGGCCTCTCCTCACAGACCTCAGGAACAAATTCATTATCGATATCATTTACCTGAGCATAACAATTTTTCAGGTTCGAATGTTATGAATGGTTCAGCCTCACCGAGGTCAACATTACAACATCAGGTTCAACATCAACATTCAACACCCTCCTATGCCCCACAACCTCAGAGTAACCTCCTCCTGCAACGACAGCACACCCTTCCCAATTCGCAGTCTCAATTTTATCAGCAGCAGTCTCAGCAGCAGAGTCAGCAGTGTGACCCGATGGTTGGCAGCGATGAAAGTGATTCCTTGCTCGTTGCTTTCTATGCATCCCAAATCCAAATGCATTTCAATTTGGTTAAAACGTCTGCAACTAAATTTTGTAAAACCATGTTCAGCAGCTCAGCAAAACGTCAACTTCAACCGATTCAACTCTTGCCTACTCCAAAAGAATTTGTTCTAAGAAGCAAGTTTGTCATATTAGCTGCTCATAAGTTAGTTTACGTGGCCGATGCCATCGCTCGTAATTTAGCTGACCCAACTAGGTACATAGACATTGCTGAATCAGCAAACAAGCTGTGCAATGCATTGAAAATTGCTGTCAACTCTACAAAAGAATCGGCTCTGCAGCATGAAGATGTTGAGAAAAGAGACTGCATGGTAAAGAGCATCCTGTCTGTTGAGGCGGCGTCTGATGAGCTCTGCTCTGTCATCAGCAAGTACAAGAGGTGTCTCGACAGCAATGATGAGGAGGAGGAGGTTGAACAAACTAAATGAAAGCTGCTCTATCTATCATAATATTTTTTTTCTCTTTAGTGTTTTTAATAAAATATTAAATGTCATTTTTTTCTTTTATGTTTTATAAATGTGTCGTTGTTGCGTTCTTCTATCATAGTTGCCTTTAGAGTTATTTTTCAGTATTTTTCTTTTTAATTTTACTTTTTTATTGTTTTGTTTTTTGATCATGACGCTAAAATATTTCTGGATAATTATTTATTGTTTGGGATGTACGTCAATCGCAATTTTAAATTCGCATTCTTGTTTCTGTAAGTGTTTCATTCAGAATTTAATATGCAACATATCCGTACTCTTCACATGAGATTATGAGAGCAAAAAAAATATCGTTTGGTTGTGTGTATGTACATGTGTCTGTTTGTTGTACTTTGTGTTTTTTCAACCATATCTTAATGCAACTCGATTGTTTAATTAAATTGCAAAGCACATGCATTATGTTTAAACTTTATGCTGCTTGAGTTAAATATCGCTAATAGAAGAAATTTAAGATACATTTTTTCGTAATTCAGTTGATAATTTTCAAAATATAGAGAGCTAAACGTATCAGCTGTAGCTCATTTAATCAAACATCACCCATTGAAATTAATATTTTGTTTAGTAACATTAAATAGCTTCATCTTCACTCTATAAATTCATACTGTCTAATAGTAACTTTTGAAAATATTTCCTTTTATATTTATAGCATTTTGTTGAACAACTTCGTTTTTATGTCTTTTTGAAACAATACATGACGAATGCAGTTGTTAATTCATGAAAACAGTTTACGCTCGCTAAATTATCGATTTTTAAAAATTTATTTAATAACATTGCCGTTAGGGCGTTATTTGTAAATCGTGTTAACTCAACAAATTATTATCGTCATTTTACGTGTATGTTCATCGTTCGTTTTATGAATAAATGTTTTTATTGACATTGTCCTGGTGAACACTTCGAGTGATTCTATCGTTTCGCAGTTTGTAATTATCTCTTTCGTCGGCTCCTTCATAAAATTAAAATTAAAAAGTTATTTCGATTCAAACTATTATATGTTAAAGGTTAAACTATTAATAAAATATCAGTTATGTTATCAGAATTTGCGGACTAACCATCGCGATCGCCTTCGTATCCCACATCATTTTGACGAGCAGACGATAGGTAAATGGGATATTCCAGGTGCTTTGGTAAAGATTTTTGGTTGTATACTTCAACATCGCTTCCAGGGAAGCGCTCCGTTAGATTGCCGTTCAGTTGGCTTGTTATAATTAATAATAAGCTTATTTAAAAATAATGATTGCTATTATTTCTGCATTTATTAACTATTATTCATACTGTAGCGATGAATTATTCGCATTAGAAACATGTTATAGTCCCAAAGATTGAATTTTTTCATAGAAAAACCTTCAATTCAGACTTTAGGATAGCTTTTTGGGATTTTGGTTAACCAACCATCTTGACTTAATATAACTAGAGTAAAAGAATTCTATGAACGATCCTCGGTTGGGTGAAAAAGCAATGTCTAACAATTTAGACTTTTGAAACATTGCCATACGATTAATTTTACTTGACAAACTCGCTGAACTACGTAATTCAGTGGACAAACCCATTTCAAATTTTCTGGTGTTACACTTTTTAACTTAAGCAATATTAAACTAAAAGTGAAACTAGTCTGAAAAAATATTTGGCTATGTTTTCGCTGTCGCTGATCTATTTTCTAATTTCATGATCTATTTTCCTATTTTTTGATTATTAAATAAATGAAATGACATTTTTAACATTACGATCTGACGCGTTATTTCATAGATTTCAAATTAATTTGGTTAATGTTATCACTTGATGTTAAAATTTAATAAAAAATTTAAAACGGGAAAGAAAGTTTTAATCTGAAATTCTGAACTGAGCTTGAGAGCTTATTTATTTTTATTTATTATATTATATTTATATTATTAATTAACTATCAATAAAATAAGCAGAAAATCGTTGTCACTCACTATTTTAATTAGGCTTGAATTTTGTTGCAAAGAAGAAATAATCAGTAATTATATAATATTATATATATATTATAATAAGTGAAATAATTTAATAAAATTGATAAGAAACAATGTTTAGACCAGTTGTAGAATCAGATGAGGTGTTTGATTTGTTGTTCAAGCTGGTGCTGATTGGGGATGCAGGGGTGGGCAAGACGTGTCTGGTCCAGAGGTTCATGGGTGGGTCCTTCATAGAACGGCACAGCAGCACAATTGGAGTTGACTTTACCATGAAGACCATCACCATCGATGGCAAGAAAGTTAAGGTTAGGTTTTCATTTTCCTATATTATATTTCATTATACCTAGCAATTGACAGTTTAAATAAATTATTTATTATAATATAATATATTATTTAAACAAAATTTTTCATATTCACTTTAAACTGAATCCAACAAGGCTATTTAATTTCAATATTTGATATTTTAATAATAATTGTTTTTCATGTTTTTTCAGACAAAGATAAATGTCAATTTAGTTGATACAAAATTTTGTTTGATTTTATACATTTCTTACTAAAAATTCAGTTCAGTAATTATTTATTTTACTAGCCATAACAAAAAAACTTTCAGCTTCAAATTTGGGACACAGCTGGCCAGGAAAGATTTCGCACAATAACACAAAGTTATTATCGAAGTGCTAATGGGGTTATTCTTGCTTTTGACACAACTCGATATGAGACATTTCTCAACTGTGCCAGGCTTGTTCATGTTTCATATCTTTGTTTATATTTCATATCTTTGTTCATGTTTCATATCTCTGTTTGTGTTTCATATCTTTGTTTGTGTTTCATTTCTTTTTTCATGTTTCATATCTTTGTTTATGTACATGTCATTGTAGTTTGAAATTTTTCAGTTTATGAAAAATTATTTTAGGTTTAAATCTTGTAAATGTTTTGTTTATCCTAATTGACTGACTACACCAGGTGGTTTGAGGATGTGAAGAAGTATGCCACGCCGAATGCTCTGGTCATTTTAGTGGGTCTGTCTCTGTCTGTTCTTCGTAATATTCGTTGAATTTAATGATTGAAAATTGACGATTTGTCGTTAAGTATTGAATTGGCTGAAATATTGCTTTTGTTTATGCTTGCATTACACAAAAAAATTAAATTAAATTGTAAATCTGGGAAAACGTTGGTTATTATGAGCCATATAAACTTGAAAACTAGACGTTTAACTTACTAGTCATTGATGTCTGTACATTGTGTGTGCATTTGCGCTCGTGCGTTTGAATATCTTGTGTTGTGTGTGGTGTATATGTACGTAGAGCATGCAAATGGCATGAAGGGATGTATAATCTGAATGAATAAATTGATGTATCCTTAAAATTGATGAGTGAAATAATGATGATTATGACGATGACGACAATGACGACGAAGATGTGTCCACACAGTATGCATACGAATGAATTGATATCTACTTTTTCAGGTAATAAAAATGACTTAACAGAACTAAGAAATGTCCCAGAGAATGAAGCCCGACAGTTTTGTGAACAAAATCAAATGACTGGTTACGTTGAGACCAGTGCAAAGGACAACACTCACACGCAAGAAGCTTTTATGGAAATTGCAAAAGTTTGTAACGTTTCTTTCTTTCAATTCTTGAATGTTTGTTTCAATTAGTTTTTTCATCCAAATATGATTTATTTTCAATTTGAATGTTTATGCATTTTTTTCTACTTAAGGAATTGAAAAAAATCTATGGTGATGACAAATTATTGGATGACAAGAATGCATCATCATTTAATCTCTCCAGCAGACCAGTCAAAAAACAATGTTGTGATTAATGGTTGCTTGTTTATTTTCATTTTTTTTTCGATTGTTTGTTTGTTTTTCATTTCAAATTTAAAAATACAAGTTCTAACTAGATAGTTTTATTTGTTGTATTGTTCATTTTTCGGTTAATGATGTTTCTGACAAAAAATTAACTTATTCATTAACTCATTACTGATGCCCATTGTAAATATTTGTAACCTGAATATAAATTGACTTCTACTTCTGCTGATGATATGTATGCATGTATATAACAGTTCAATATCGTTGCTTTATGTTTGAAACAATCTATGAATGTTTACGTTCAACGTTATTTAGTATTTTTATGATCAGATGGGTCTTTTGCGAATCTGAAATCCTAATTTAATCATAATATTTTTTTCTTTATATATTTTTTGAGTTTGATAAAAAGTTAATCGTGCCTCGTTTGAAAGAAATTAGTTTGAATTGGTGCTACATAGAATTTCATAATTGTCCAAAATGAATTTAGTCCAATTAGTTTTTTCTATTTTCACTAATAAAATCGTTCATCAATCCTGCATATTATGATTTGTTTGTATTTTTGCAATTTTTGGTTATTAGACTTTATGATTATGTCATTTTAATAGACTTTATGTACGATTTTGTTACTTATTGGAGCGATTTTAACCGGCTTTTGTTTGTTTTCTATTTTAAGTGTTTGAAAATGTTCATTGTGCATAGTTCATGACAACTACGTTTAATTTTTAAAACTTTTAATTTTTAACTAGATTGCTATTGGTTATTTTTAACACGTATGTAACATTTCTTGATGGTACTTTATCATATGACTGAGTTAGCTTTAATCGTTGGAAGCCTTTTTTCCTGTATGTACTTCATAGTAATCTGAGTTGGAACTATATATTTGTGTGTATGTATCATTGTAAACTATCTATCATTAACATAACGTTTGATGTGCCGTTCATAAACTATGTTTCACAAAATCGCTTTCACTAGCCTGTCCGCACCATCTCCTACTTTAATTAACAAGCAAACCATCTTAATGCTAACCTACTACATTTCGACTCAACATATTTCTCGCGCACTTCAACAACACTTCACTAAATTTGTATCTTAGACTTACAAGACCACAGATCTCTCTAATGAATTTTATTTCAGACTACAGGAGTGATCTTATGTTTCCGACTGAGACCGCCTATTGTTGCTCGCATGCAAAGCACAGTACAGCTTCACATGTATGCTTTTTAGGTGTACTAACTCTGATTGGTTTTTTGCCCGATTCGTTTTTCGACTTTTTTTCTTTTTTTTAGTGATGTTTTTCTACATTTTTGAATTTCGTCAAAAAGTAATTAAGTCTGCGATGGATAAATAAATTCAAGGATGAAATTGAAGAGTTGTTTTTTGTGATTCCAATGTGAGTGAGGATAGATTTGTGCACTTTTCATGAGAAGTAGGTCAAAGATACGAGAAATGTACTTCAAATTCTACACGAACACTTTCCGCAGTTTCTTGTTTTGTTGGCGAATAATTAATCGCCAGACCTAATAATCTTTCTTGATTCACCTTTTTTGCTTAGTTTTAATTGTTATTTTGTTTTATCGTTTGATTTTCAAATTAAATGAGAGACTTCAAATTTTCTTTTGTGATAACACGATCTATAGAACAGGAGGTCTAGCAAGTTAAATGAAATCTTACAAACATATCTTTTCTTCAAATGCCATAACGTAGACGTCAAATTTTTCTTCGTTCAAATTTCCACATTCCAATATTTTCACAGCAACACGCTTATTGAAGCCCGACTTCAATCTCTGGCACTCTGGCCAAAAATATTTCAAAAACTCCTAATATACAATTTTCAGTTATTTATATCTTTGTTAACACTTTCGCCTTCCCATGTAAAACTTCTCTCGCACACAAAAGCCTTAACGCCTTCCAATTGTCATTGTATCCAGATTAGTTTCAAAAGTGGCTTAACAATTCCCTGCATGTATATTTATCAGTATATAATGTAAAAACTTAGGCAAACTCGCGTATGTAACGCTGGTATCTAGTATATATAATATTATTAATTTGTTTCATTACTAACTTAGTGTTTCTGTATTTTGAAAACTGGATTCTTCAAGCGTATTTTTAATTATTATGGTGGAGTCAGTTCTTTATGTTTTTCTCATGCAATATGACTTTTCCATATTGAAAACAACAAAACGTCGATTTGAAAAAGAGAAATTTACCATTCAAATTTTTTTCGGTCTTCCAGGTGAAACATATTTTATATTCAACAATATGGTGTAGATAAGGTGAACTGTAACGCTATATAAATAATATAAAACATTGTATGTTAACTTGTGATTGTTATGCAGATGTTATATTATTTTATAACTGTCGTGATGCTTTCTTTAGAAGATAATTTACATTTCGAATGAGTCTCGTCTTATCAATATGAACAGGTAGTTAGTTGATATACGCCGACGTTCTATCAGCTTTTTCTTTTTTCGCCTTTTCCTCTTTCAAAGTTTTTTGTGCTTTTCATATTTTTCTTAAAAATGTACATGGATTCTATCAGGCCTTTCATTTATTTATAATAATTGTAATAATAATAGTTGTATTTAAATTTTCATTTAAGATTTTTTGAATTTAAGTAAAATATATTTATATATATTTTTTCCTTCAAATAAAATCTATCAATAAAACAATTAGAATGCCGTGAGATTAAAAATTCAACTCTAACGTATAATTGAATGAACAATGTTGAGCAGTACTTTACAATCGCGATTATTTCGTTGTGGCGATGAAGATACATTTTTCACATGTATGGTGGATACTGTGCAGTATATAGACTATCTAACCAAAGCATTGTTGCAATCCATGATTCTTTTCACACGATTATCACAATTTATTTGTTGTTTTTTATTTCAATAGTTATATTAATAATGGAAATAATTTTAATATTTTTTATCGCTATCTAATAGTTTTGTTTCCTTTATTTTCCTTCTTTCTGTTTACTTCAATCCAAGAACCTACCTTCTGAATTCGACTGTTATGTATGTATGTATGTTTGTTTGCAGAACATTTTTGTGACATTTTTATGTCATTTAATGTTATTTGTTTATTTTTATTTCAATTTAATCATTACATCTGCTTAATTTAATTAACACTTTTATAGAAAATTTGTGTGTTAATTAATTTTATTGATGAAAAAAATTTATCTTTAGACTTTGGGATCACGTTTTATGTATATCTAACATAATTATTCTCCTTTTCATGTTTTTTTTTGTTATTTAACAAACAAAAAAAATTTATATTTTTTTTTTAAATTCTAACCCAGCAAAAAATCAACAAACACAGAGTGTTGTTTATAAAAGTCATTTCATTTTATCAACGTTAAACGTTATATTACAAGCTACACCGTTAATGTATACATATAAGTACATACAAACATTATATAAATATATATATATATGTAATTATAATTATTATTAATTATAATTATGGCTATGTCGATTTCTCCCAAGTGTACAAGTTTTGCAGGGTGGATCAATGATGTAATAGGTAAGGAACAAATACTTAATCTGTGCAATAGAAGCTTCATGCTTATGAAAGTATATATATATACGTGTGTGTGTTTATGTGTGTTTGTATGTGCGTGTGTATTTATATAGTGCATAACATTTGATGAATCTATATATATATATAGATTCATCAAATATATATAGATATATAGATACTGTAAATCTAACAATATTTGTCAAGAAACAAAGAACAATATTGATAATGACGATAATAAAGTCACGCACGCAAACAAATGTACATAAAATATTATTAATATTATTGTTTTCCAAATGAATTAAAATATATTGAAAAATAACCGATGAAAAATAAAGACTGTTTCCATTTGGCCCCGTTTCGCTATTATAAAAAAAAAACAGCATTTTATTCTATACAAAATCAATACGATTAGATGGGTATAAGTTTTGCATACAGCAATTGTCTATAATGTCTGGCAGTGAGTTATTTGTTAGCTGGTTTTTATACAAACTAGATCAATGATCTGGTTATAATAGATTATGTATGAATAAATTAAATGGAGACTTGTATAAATACAAATTTATGAACAGTTTATTTTTATTCATATGAGTGCATTCATGCATCTAAGTTTGATGAATGAATGAATTCATCATTTTCCGAATGATTTCTACATTAGGCTTCATATTTATGACGTCTCTGAATGTTTGCAGAGTTAAAAATTCCTATAACATCATTCTAATCGACGCACGCACACAAACACATACACAACACACACAAATACACACGTACACACATACACACGCTTAACAATCCTTTTTTCTTCAACATTTTTCCATATAATTCGCACCGCATATGCATTCTCAGTTACGTTTACATTTGTAATTACGTGTGTGTGCGCGCGCGCGCGTGTGTGTGTGTGTTTGTTTGTGTGTGTGTGTGTGTGTGTGTGTGTGTGTGTGTGTGTGTATGTGTGTGTGTATGTGTGTGTGTGTGCATGATTAGACATAATGCTTTCCTCATTATTAATTCCATTGTTTTTGCTCTTCCTATACAAGAACTTCGCCATTGGAAAATACAGGTTTTCAATATTTTTTTACAAAAAACATAAAATATTACAGCAAAATATTAACTTTATACGTGTGTATATATATATTGTATATATATATATATATATACAGCAATATAATATTATATATATATATATACGCTTTTTATTTATTTATATAAAAATCAAAAAAAAAATTTACACAATAAAAAATTCGTTAAAAAATTGTAAAAAAAGTATGAACATCCAAAAATATATTGAATAATTATCTTTTCGCATATATTAAAATTGTTTCAATAGCAAAGTACTGAAAAGAACCGTAAACAATATCTGATACTGACGCATCAGTGTTGTAAAAATACTTTCTCTTTTTCCAAATAAATAAACAAGAAATAAATAAATATATATAAAAAAAAGAATTCATAAATATCTCGTAAAATATTTTTTAAAAGGTGAACAACATTTTGTGGAGGTACGGCAAAACCCATTGAAGAGTGTATTCATTAAAAAGAGTATATTACATTAGAAAAGAATCACATCAACATTACATTACATTACATTCCTTTTTTACAATCACATTACTATGCATCAAACCCTATTACATTTACATTAATGCAATTATTAATGTCATAACTTCAAATTGCATCAGTTTCCATTTTAAAACAACTATAAAAGAGAAAGAGAGAGAGAGAAAAAAAAAAGAAAGAGGGAAATCACATCTTTAAATTGTGTTATTTTATTATTTATCTGCAAATTTAATACAAGTAAAACAAATTAAAAGTGATATACAGATTGAGTTGGCATAAGCTGGTCTTGAAAAAATGATGGAACGAATCACGAACATTTCATTCATTCATTCATTCATTCATTCATTCGTTCGTTCGTTCGTTCGTTCATTCATTCATTCATTCATTCATTCGTTCGTTCGTTCGTTT